AATTTTGTGTTTGTAATTCTGTACATTTAATTAAGTTATTGTTAATTGTTTATTGGTTTAATGTAAGTGGCTATTGTTCGGGACGAACAACACTAAGGAAGAGGCAGTGTTACGACAGCGGAAGTCACGTGACGCTAGTAACACGTCATGAGCTTCTAGAAAAGTCATGTCCCTTCGCGAAGCCTCGAGTGTTTACTAGATGTGCGGTACTCTTGTATATAAGACCGCTAAGAAGTGACGGCAACAATGGAATGTAATTGAATTGCAGACAGAGGTAAAGACGACAATTGAGTCAAGCGCGTGAATCGTTCGTTCGTTGTAAATTATAGCGCTTGTTTAATTTATAGCGTGACTGTGGAAATTAAGTGTATTGCAAAGTTGTATTGAGAAATAATAAACTAGTTTTATTTAAGAAAGGACTTGTATCGCTAAAGTTTCTTGGGATAGAAGTTTTACGGAAAATTATCAAATGAACAGAAACGTAACAATACTTTGTACACTTCATCTACAAGAGAAACCAGTTTGGTATTGATATTTTAATGTGCGATGACACCTATTAGTCAGTTTTCTAAATATTGCATTATCTTTGATTCTAGATTGTCATTAAATTCTACACAAAATAAATCAATCAAGTGAAGATGTGACAATTTACACTGTATTAATAAGAAGATACTCTTCCCTTTGATCTAATACAACAGATCACAAGGTCATGTATCCTGAGGCAAGTTGTAACTACATTGTCCACTTCCTAGCGCAGATACTGTGCCTCCTCTGAAATGGTAACCAAACCAAAAAAATGGGGTGGAAGTTGTTCAAAAGGCCAACCACCCTATTAGAAAGGTAAAGCTTATGAGTTCTGGTATTAAAGAAATTCATCTTTAGCAGTGATTTGTAGGAGATAAAATACAGATCTGAAATGCAGTTTTTACACTTATCTGATTTTGGATCAGAAATGAACAAATGAAGAGGAACGCGAGAAAATGGTAACCGGACAATTACTTATACACTGGACAATTAGACACCTAATAATGAAGAAGTAGGACATTTAGACACATAATAATTGTCTATTTTCCGATTACCATGCAAGTCATATAATGAAGTAAATTAAACCGGTAATATAATAAACCTAGGTCTATGTAGGTCAAATAATGGAGTAGATTTAAAATTTTAATGAAGTAGGCCCTTACAGTTCATATAAGAGAGTAAATTAAACTGGTAATGTAGTAGGCCGAGAAATATACAGGTCATATAATAGATAAAATTATTGAAATTATTGTTTTATTTTGTAATAAACAAATGGTGTCTAAATGTCCTACTTCGTCATTTTTTTAGGTGTCTAGTTGTCCTGGATTCGATAAGAATATCTGCAGTTTACATGATTTTTATCACAAATTTTAGGTTTCTAACGCTTTTCCAGCTTTCGGCGTATAAGACGTTACTTATATTTATAGCCACATATACTTGTTTGTTTTTTTGAATTTCGTGTAAAGCTACTTGAGGGACATTTATGCCAGCTATCCCTAATTTTGAAGTGAGAGACTAGCGAGAAGGCAGCCAGTGAATACCACGCACAGCCAACTTTTGGGGTACTCTTTACCAACTAATAGTGGAATTGAATGTCACATTATAACGACTAATGGCTAAATGGGGAATATATTCGGTGACACGGTTCGATTCCTCGACCCAGAGGTTGCGAATCGAGTACCCTAGTCATCAGGCCATACCAGACCTTAATTACAAGTTAATTATTGGTCTTCTTTCTGTATTAAGCTGTTTATTACTCTAAACACTTCTTGTAAACGATTTCTTTGTTTATTTTATTAAGAGCAAAGCCACATAATGTGCTATTTGTGCTCTAGCTGCTCGCCGCATGTATCGAAACCCGCGTTTATACATAAGCCTTAGACTTCAGACATCAGACTTAGGGGTGTTGTGAGTAAAGCTGTGCTGTTCATCATATGGTGTTACATGTATCCTCCTTTATGAGAATTATAAATTACTAAAAAAAAAAAAAGCCTTCTGAAAGTAAAACGATCTAGTTCAGCAAATGTTTCAACTAAACTTTAAATTTGCTACATTATTTAAAGAGTTAAATTTTAGTTCTGATCTCTGAACCGAGTTTGTCTGCGTATACAAAATTATACCATATAAATATAATTTTTAGACAAACGTACGTATCAAGTAAAAGTATAAGTAAAAGTCGACTTTATTATTATTATTAAGTGTAGCACCAAAATTAATTATACTTGTCGTTGGACATTTAATACTAATGTCTTATAAGAAATATAATTTATTAGTTATGATTAGACGTTCATACAATAACAGTTGTTGTTGTAGTACAAAAAGTTTTACACATGCGCTTTGCATCTGTTGTAACTTGTAAGTTATGGCGGGAAACAATATTATCGTTATTTAGTGTATATATATATATATATACACACATTTTTGTATATGACTATGATGTATTGTCGATAGTAGCATTAATTAAGCCTAATTTGACTTAATAGTGTCCCTAGTTTAGACCCTGGTAAGTTTTAGTGTTTTAGTAACATAGTAAAATGATTAAACATTAAAGTATCTATAGCTGTGGTAATGTTAGATTATCGGTTGTTTACTAGTGTTAGTGTACAAATTAAGAAGCAAGACATTCGAAAGAGCAGGGCCCAAAGTTAATAATAATAACGCTATTATGCGGCCACAATATTTTCATAATTTACACACTTATTGAGTTAATGTCAATTTACAGTTCGAAGTTGAAAAACAATCAGAAATTAGGATTATCTGGAAACTTAAAAATGTTTTTGATATGTCATTGCATTTTTGGAAGATTCATTAATACTAATAGAACAGTCAAAAATTAATAATTTTTATTGTTAATAATTATTGATTCCAGTTACTTGTTTTTTGTTGTTTTTTTTAAACTGATAAACAATTATCAACAGATAAACCTATAAAAGTATAAAGCTTACCTTTGTTCATGATCTTGGACTTTCAACACTAAAATCAATTTTCCAAATCTAGAACTTCTCATTGTTTTTATTTAGATCATCTTAAACTCAGAGATATCTTGTGTACATGTAGGTTACTGAGTGAAGTCTTGGATTCATATTTGTGATTTGATTATTTGAAGAAATTTGTATAAGCTTTGAATATATAGGGATAGCCTTCATCTTAGGTATATGTATTTCTCTGTTAGAATAATTAACTTATAAAATAGTTTTCTTAACCCATTAATTACGGCAGGAGCAGCTCAGTTGCCATTTTCTGACTCGCAGATAAAACTGAGTTGCCATCAATCACAATAAAATGGTAATTTTTGTCATTCACATAGAGTTTTATATATATATATATCCGTCATCCACAGTTAATGGGTTAATGATGACCACATAGTGTGCTGATAGTTTGGATTTTTAAAGTTTGCTGTTGAAAAGTGTTACATGTTTTTGAAAAGTTACATTTATTTGGGTTGATCTTTTAGGATTAGGAGTGATGACAGTGAGCCAGATAGCTTGCTTTTATGTTGTTTTTGTGTATAATCCATGTCTTTCTATAATATTATTGTTCATACTTAACTATATGTAGATCTATTAGTACAGATTGTAGAAATTATTATTTGGTTGAAATTTTTAGGTAGGCTCATTTATGTTGAAAACATTTTAAAACAATTTGTATTGAATCATTCTTAAAAGATATGGATCTGTTTTATTTATTTTTAGAAAACATAAACCAGTATGGCAGGAGACTATGAAACACATGCACAAGAAGAAATTTTGCATAGTGATGAAGACGAAACAGAGCTGACAACCCCTATAGAAGTTCTTCAGAAGTTAGAAGAAGTAATAATATGGTGTTCTACCTTAGTCTCTAATATCTTACGAGTTCCTTTAAATCATGAGGAAGTTATAAAACTTTTACTATAATGTTTGGTAATGTGTATTAGATGCTTAATGAAAGTTTAGTGTACATATTTTGATTGATTATATGACCTATGTGTCTTTCAGTTTCTATAAAGAATATTTAAGATTTATCAAAGTTTGTCTGTTATATGGTAAAACCTTTCAGTAATGTGTAAGATTCTAACCTGAGGTGATGTGAGACTTCTGAATTGTCAAGGCTATTCTTCTCCAAGCAACCAAAACATTAGAAACCAATTTAATTTCATTCAAATGTATGTATACCTATTCAATAAAAGTTTTTAAAAATTGAAATTAATATGCACACCCTATGGCATAAAATAAAATTTAAGGGTAACAAAGAACATGTTGATCCTTTTAAAATGTCCCATCCACTAAGCTAAACTTTAAAATAAAGTCATTTGTCATTCAAATATTTACCAAGCCTTCCCTTACACTCCCTTAAATTTACTACATCTGTCACATCTGAAGGCAACCCACTTTAAAGGCCAACCACCCTGTTAGAAAAATTAAACTGTCTTAACTAAAGATGACTCCCACCATGCCAGTATTTATATTTATGTTCCATAGCCCTACCATTCTCAACATTAAGTACAAAAAAAGATGATGCAACAGTATTACGAATTCCCTTAACAATTTTAAACATTAAAATCAATTCCCCGTTAGCTGTTTTTTGTTTTTTTTTCCTCTTGAAGATAAAACAGTAAACCCCCTCTGGATCCTTTCCAACTATTCAATGTCCTTCTTAAGGTAAGAAGTCTAAGACTAAACACAATACTCCAAATGTGCCTAACCAGTGACCTATAAAATGAAATTATAACCTCTTGACGTTTATTCAGTATTTATGTAGATGCATCTTAAAATTCTATTTGCCTTGCTACTAGCAATAGCATGCTGCTTGGATGGCTTAAGAGACTGATCATCCAAAACACCACTATCCTTTTCTTTCATAACACTGTTAAAATTATTCCTATCAAAATTATACTTGTAATTCAAATTATATTATCCTACATGCATTACCTGTCATTCATTATAGTTAAAAGCCATCTGCAATTTATTTGCTCAGCTCACCAAATAATCCAAATTCTTGACTCAACTCCATTTATAACAACCCACTGTTTTCTTCCATTCAGCCACATTTTTTACCCAATGAGCCAACTTACCTCCTCACACCTATAGATATGTTTTTTTTTGTGGCACCTTGTCAAATGCTTCCTGATAATCCATATACACCAAATACACACCCTTACCTCTCATCTAAATAAGCAGTATCTCTTTAAAAAATGTCAAAAGATTAGTAAAGCAAGATTATCCCCCAGTAAAATCAAGTTGATTATCAAACAAGATTTTGAACTTGTCACCTTGCATATCTTGTTATTATGTAGCACTCAACGACTCTTACTTAATCACCTTTCTAAGTACATCTTCTTCAGTACTGATATTAAAGCTAATAATCGAGTCTTCATTTTCAATCATGTATTATTATTATTAAGAACATTTCTTAAACATGGCATTTGTTTCATCTTTTGGCATTTTTATGTCAGTAAATATGCATAGTTTTGCCCAACCATAATAGATAACTGCAAAAAAATCTTTGCAATATCTGATAAAAATAATTTTCTTACAGGCCTGGTTAAACGAAAAGTTTGCTCCTGAACTTCTGCCTTATAAAGGTGAATTAGTTGATTGTATGTTAGACCAGCTTCAGCACATGGACCAAAACCTACGACGTGTGAAACCTGGAGATTTTAGGATCATCATTCATAAAATGGAGGTAATAAACTACTTCTGCTGATTTTATGAATAGATTTGTTTGGAAACAAATGTTCTAATGACATTTGTATAAAACAGTTCAAGTCAATTAAGGAAGATGTAAATCACTATATTTTCTTTAAAAAGTAATCATATAATTAATGAGTTTGACATAAAATTGGCTTGGAATATTAACAGTTTTTTTATTCATTACTTCTTTTTTCTTATTATTATTGTAGATTTGCAGTAGTTAATGCTTTCCTTGTGATGGCTTTCTAATATAGAGCTTTTCTAATACTATGGACTGAACTTTGCATACCTTTAATGTGATTTGATTAGATCTGAGTATTACAGGGTGTCTGGAAATCATATTAAAATGTATTAGAATTTATTTCTGAGTTTTTCCGAAACACTTGTAAACAGTTCGTTAATGTAATTTCTGGAATACTGTGTATTCCATTCCTTATGATAGGAGCAATAGTGGAGCATATATGTGAAAAAAAGTTGTATCAGATGCTCTCTTTTGTCAGAAAGCATGAAAACTTGTTTAGGAAGGTTTTAAGATATGCTGATTTTAAAACTGAAGGAAGGAAGCAAGCTTTTAGGACAAGGTGTCCTGTTTATAATTGAGGATCATATAAGTTCAAGTAAGGCTCAAAAATACTGTAGAAATATGTGTGCTGAGAAAGCAATAAATCAAACAACTTCAAGCTTACTCTTTAAGTGGCATGTGTGAGCAGCAATACTTTTGTTTTCTCTTTTAAGTGCCTTTTATCTATATAGCATTAGTTGTAATTAAACAGTAGTGCTGTTCATGTAATTAGGTTATCACCTTGACACCTTGTTATGATTATTAGTTGATGTTTAGTTAGATCTGACAAACACAGTTAAATAAGGAAGTTATTCTTCATTTAGCATTTTTTGATTGAATAATGAATATTAAATTGCTGTAACTTTTTCTTTATGAAAGGAATATTTCCCTAAGCAACACTGGTGGCATTTTAAACTTGTAATAAGTAGACAAAATATAAAGTTAAAGCTAAACTATTGTTTAGCCCAGACAAGGTAAACATGAACACCAGGCATCACTGTAGCTAATTATGTAAACAACGGCCACTAGGCCATGCCTTCACATTTGTGAGCTGTGTACAAACAGAACACTGCATATCTTTGCATGTAGTTGCTCAATCATATGTAATACTAGCTATCATGTCATGTAGGAGTACAGTTGGCATGTATCTAAAATCTAAACAATGGCAGAGCTACTAATAATGATCTTTGGTAAAAGTGTAGCCTTATAATTGACAGTGAGTGCTGTTGGCTAGTTGCCTTCCCCCTGGTGGGCAGTTCAAAATTAGGAATGGTGGAAGATAACGTCAGTAATTTTTCCATAACTAAAGAAACAAATGTAATGCCTCCATTGCTGAAAGGGCAAGCATGTTTGGTGGCAATGGGAAGTGAACTCTCAAACCATGAGTCAACCACCTGAAGCCAAACAAAGGCATCCACCATTATTGTACCTTATTTCTATGGACTGCTCCAGAATTTTGTAAATAGGTTGGGAAACTAAATGGACTTTTATCTCAATGGAGAGGGGCAATCCAGTACCCAAAGAACAACTTTAATTTAAAAAGGGTGAGAGGTGATGGAATACACCCATTTTATCCCCCCCCCCCAAATGTCATGCTTTCTAACAAATTTCAACATCTTTGTCATTTATCCACCTCACTACAAAATCTTCTTAAGCTATTTTGTAACAAAAGTAATGAGATGTAATGTGATATGAATAAATTTACTTTCATAGAAACCTAATACAAGTATGAATCAACGTATAGAATGTCATACAGCTCATTGAAACTTTAATGTACCTCTAATATCTTATTATTTTTAACACATAAAAAATTAATAAGTTACTTTATAACAGACTTGATCTGAATTGGATGGTTAATAGACCCATGCTATAGCATGGAGCTTGTCAAAGTGCTACAGGGACTGATGCACAATTTTCTTGTTACCAGTGCTTCTTCCTAAATAAGGAAGTATGTTTCTTATGTTTAAGGGCAATATTCTTAGTTGTGTGTACTCTTGCTACCTTCTAGTCTTCACTATTAAACCTGAAGCTCTATAATTATCAGCAGTTTGACCATGTAATCTGATTTGTCTTGTTTGTGTGAAGCTTTAGCTCTATTAAGCCAATTTCTGTTTGGCACAAAATCTAGGTTCCACATACGCTAGTTGAGTGTGAAGCCATAAAAAAACAAAACAGTTATTTCAAGCATATTCTTCACACTTCAGGTAGGAAAAATGGAGAGAGAAAAGAAAATATAAACTGGAAAGAAATATCTAAAAGTTATTAAGATACATAATGGATGATAGACTTCACAATGACCTGACAACAAAACTCTTTATAATCATAAACCATTATCACTGTAGAAAAATTTCATGTCTTGCCCTTAGCCCTGATTTACCTGTATAATAAATATATGAAAAGTGCTTTTGATTTGATATAGTAAGTAAAATGGTAATTGATAGTTTTTGTTTATTTTTCATCTTATTTACATGATAGCTCTTTGAGTTGCATTTTGATAAGAGTTAGAAAAATTAGACAGATACCTTTGTTATTATTTTTTTCTAATACAAAATGCTCAAAACATAGAAGTTTTAAGGGGTTTTTCCCTCAACTCCCAAAGGAGGGTACTACTGGACCCTGCTAGGCTTCTCAGACTCCAATCTTTTATGGCAGTATTAAGTTGTTTATAAAGTTTGTAGAAAGAACCTTGATATAGTGTTAAGAAAAATTGCTGATGAATGTAATGTAAAACAATACAGGTACGATTGCTACTTAGTTGAGATAACAATAAGATGTAATGTAAAGCAATACAGCTATGATATACTACTAGGTTGAGTGAGGCAGCAGTAAGATGTAATGTAAATCAGTACAGCTATGATTGCTACTTGGTTCAGACTAGGGTCAAATTAGAGGGGAGGGGCAGGAGGGCCATTTGGCCCAGGTCTCGAGCTCAAAGGAGGGCCTCAAATTTAAACACGTGTTATTTTTTTGCATTTGTTAAATTTTATGACTTGTCTTCATGCGTCTCCCAATCAGACCAAAATGTGACACACATTCTGAGCATAGAGCTGCAAATTAAATACTCAAATTATGTTTCACTTTTCTTCTGGGCTAATGATTGTCTTATTTTGTTTTTATGTGTCATAATTTTTTTTATTATTATAGATGTAATGTAAAGCAATAACAGCTATGACTACCATGTGGTTGATGTAACAGCAATACAGCTAATATTACAACTTGGTTGAGACAACAATAAGATGCAAGATAAAGCAGTAACAGCTGTTACTACCACATGGTTGAGGCAACAATAAATGTAATGTAAAGCAATACAGCTATGAATGCCACTTGGTTGAGACAACAATAAGGAATTAATTAGAGCTGAATGATTTTACCAAACCTTATGTTTAGGGTGTATAGATATATATATACACACACATACACACCTAAACATTTTGTGAGGAAGTATAGAGGTAGAGATAAATCATAAAATAGCGTGATGATAAACAGTTTTCATTAGGTTTTAAGCAAAATATATCATTAATTTAATTTAAATGCCCCTGATGTAATGGAAAAATTAAGGGGATTGTGAAAAAGAAACATCTACAGTGTATTGTGATTTTTTATCACAAATGTTGGGCTTATTTTATGTTTTCTTTAGATTCTTATTTTGACTATTTTAATCAAGTTTTGTAGTATTTTATAAGTACTTTTTTCATTTCAGCTTGATCGAATTCAATTTGTCTTGAATAGTTACCTAAGAATTCGTCTAGAAAAAGTAAGTTTCTTGAGATTTCTTTTATAGTATGCTTAATGTTCTGCAGGTAAATTTGACCAAGACTCTTAAAAACATGCCCTATGTTCTGTTTATGCTTTTTTAATTGACATAGTATAATTTGTCAAATAAAATAGGATTATCTGTGTCAAAAAGCTATATTCATAGTTCTGTTATCTATATGAATCTTATTATATTGGTGTTCAGTTAATCAGCACTGTATTTGGATATTATCCTGATTTTGACATTATTGATTTGCCTAGTAAAGAAGAGTTAAAAGTATGATGCACTGTAATTATATTCACATTTGTTTTATTTTAAGCATATTATTAGTGATTTTATGAGTTCATATCTGAAGTTTTGCAGAAGGTATGTGGTTGTATAACTAAGTAGAGTTCTTCTGGCAGTACAAGTATTTTAAAGTTGTGATCAATACAGGAAGAATATATATATTTTTAATTCTAATTTTCTTTTGTCAGATTGAAAGATTTGGCGCTTATCTTCTTAACTTAGAAGCTCAAGAGGAAGCTGAAAACATTGAGTTAATGTCTCCAGAAGAAAAATTATTTGCTCAACAGTTTGTTCAAATTCATGTTTTTAGTAATTTAAATATTAAATATATATATATACATTAATATTACTATATCCCCACTGTTGTGTGGGTTGTACTTCTGCAGGTACCTTTATTAAAAAGGTACATTTTACCATTCTCCTGATAGACAGTACAATCTGTAGCTGTATTTTTTACAATAATATATTTTACCATATAATTCATGAATTTGTACATATTCATATACAGTATCAATTATAAGTGTGAGTCCAACAACAAAAGACAGACTAATTTTGCTGTAAGAATGGGAACCACTGTTGGCCAAACATTAATGCTGTCTGTTTTGCTATATGAACATATTTTTCTAATTACAAAAAATAATTATTCCCTTCATAAATATTATCATTGCATGGATGCACATTAACCCATCCTTTATGGGCTGGGTGTAATACACCCAGCTCGTAAACACAAAAGTATCCATGAGAGTAAATATACTATGATTTTTAATAATGTATGCACATTAGTTAGCCAGGCTGTTTTTTGTTCAACTTGGTGCATGATGGTGAATAAAACAAAATACACAGCCTGGCTAACTAATGAATGAATATGTACTGTAAAATTCTTATCAGTGCTATAAGTGTAGCTATCAGTTTGGCCACCAATTTCGATTTTATTCCTTTAAGTCCGTCACATGCTCAATTCTTTTTTTAGGCCGCAACTTCTTTTCATACCTAAGGTGTTTTTCATTAGATATCATGACTTTTTGTCAATACACACCAACAAACCACAGCAACTAAGAAAATGACACTCAATAGAAACCAACATTAGCTTTAGGATCACAATCCTATTATTTGGAACAGATCTGTACTTTACAGAACCAACCAGATTGTTTAAAATATATGGTGGTTGATTTTCCTCTATAAAACAGTGTTAATACCTTCCTTTATAGTCATCACCCGCTTGCCCTTGGTACAGCCATATCAAATATCATTATTTATGCTAATTACGTAAGCAGATACTAACATCAAGTGAAACTAATCGCTCTTTAATTAGGAGAGTTTCATAAAATTTAGCAAATTTGTGATTAAAAGTTGGCAGTGAATAATGAATAATAACTGTTTACTTGTATGATTCTTTTGAAACCTTGAGATAGAAACTGCTAATCTAGCTTCCTTAGCCTAACCAATACTTATGTATCTACATGTGCTTTCACCCTATAATTTTGCTGCTGTATATCAACCATCTTTAATCTGAATAGCAAAAAACTAAAAATGGCCCACCTTTTCTCTTAGGTGAAGCTGTAGTAAAAATTTCGGATCTGGTCGCTCATGTGACTTTTTGCATAGGCTTGCACAAAAATTTTGGTCAAAATTGAATAGTTTTTGTTAAATAACTTTGCACATGTAGCTTATATTCAGGCCAAATTTGACACCTAATTATAAGTTTTAAAGATCTATCAGTGTGCCAAATTTGAAAAAAATCCAAAAAGTTAAATATGTTTTCTGTCAAATAAAGTTTCTGTATTTTTAATGCAAAGAAAGAAAAAAGGAAGAAATTCAATAAAAATTGGAGATTTTATATTTCATCTATTCCTTAATGGATTGCCTTGAAATTTGGTATGTGAATTAAGGGTCCAGTAGAGCACTTCCACTGAAAATATGTGATAATTTGGATACCACAGTCTGAGCTACAGAAAGTGGAAAATTTGTATTATCGTGTGTCTTGATATATCCATAATTTCTGACCAAAACAAGCTACTTACATAGATTAAGAATTAACCTAGTAATTGATATACATATAACTAGTTTAATATATCATTCTGACTATGAGTATGCAAGGCCATAAAACAAAAACTTGTAATGATTAGAATATATTGATTCATCAGTTGTGTATCCTAGTATGTTTACATGTACTTAAAATGTAATTAATGTTTGGTACAATATTTCAATTTTTTTAAAATAAGTTTTTATCATACAAGCTTAATATCTGATCTTAACTTATATTTCTAATATTATGTTAACTTTATTATACAAATTATTTTATTCAGATATGTTATAATTTTCATAGTATTTTCTTACCAAGCAACACAGGTGTTAAAAAGCAGTTATGATTTTTATATAGCCACTAGCACACTTAACATCCACTTTGGCTGAGATATTTTTATTTCTTTAGTTCTTAGTTTATCTGTAATTTTTGTCACTGTTTCAAGATTTAAGGCATTTTGTAATCATTATAATTTCTCTAAATAAATTTTGAGATTTTTTATTAAATTTTTTTATTGATATCTTGGTTTGTAATTTTTGTAGTAATTTGTTTCTGCTTCCTGCCAGTAATCATAATTTTTCTGTACAAAATTTTCCATTATACTGGAATAACTTTCTTTCCTTACACTGGGTATTAAACTATGTCAGGTAAAGTCTAAAACTTACACAAAATACATATGATAATGTAAGTGCATAATTCTAAATATAAATCATATTTTTTACGTGTAATAATATGGATCATTAATAATATAAGTGCAGAATAATCTAAAGGAATATTTCATTGTATTAGTCAAATTAAGTTTTCCAAAACTGTATGTATATATGATGTAAAATATTCAATCCTTGAGAGTTTACTTTTATTCAATAATTTTGTGAACACAGTAAAACCATCTAGGTGTGATTTTAGGTATGTTGGAAACATTGAAGGCTATCTTCATGATACTATCCTCCAGCACATGCCTCCTAACATGGAACATTTTCAATTAGCTTCTGTAGGTAAGATTTGCTTTCTGTGTCAGTTTGTGGTAGCAGAAATTTAGTTTGAAGGTTATATATTGAAAGGTATATTTACAGAACTCAAGACGTGTTACATGTGTACCCAGTAAGTTTTTGTAGATAGTTTATTTCTCAAAAAGAAATTAACTTGTAAAGAAATAGATTATGACAAACATATTGATAAAAACTTTTCCACTGAAGAACAAATTTTAATAATGAAAGTGGAATTACATAGCTCTTTAATGGTATTTTAATCACATGTAAAACATTATTTGTCTTTAAAGTGGTTTTGTGCAGAAAAAACCTATAAGTTATTTGTAGCTTGTTTAAAAATACTTTGCATTGAGGCCAAACCTGGCATTGACACTTCTGAAATTTGGAAACATGATATTTTCAAATGCTTCAATCTTAAATTAATAAATCCCAGGAAAAATTTATTACTGCTTCTCTTAATAAAGCAGAAAAAGAAATTAATTTCTCTTGTAGAAGGGTGCAGGTTGGGTTCTCTGTTACAGCTCTTGAGTTCTTTTTTGAAACCTATTGGATTTGTATTAAGGAACTTTTAAATATTCTATAAATTTACTTAATCAGAGTTTCTGGATTATTTGTAATCATAATCTAGGTTTACACTACCAATTTTCAAGTAAACCTGTTCATTCAGATCAGAAAGCTTCAAAGCTCTTGATTCCCCAATTTGTGTCTCTTTCATTTATTTTTAAAAAAAATTTGTTCATTGTGTATATTCTAAAAACATTACGTGCAAAATTTCAAGGGTTTATGTAAAAAAATGTGGGAGGAGTTCAAAAATCAAGTAAACATTAAAAACCAAGTATGTGAATCACTTGTCAATTTATATATATATATATAAAGCTCAAAAATCTGTGTGTCTGTCTGTTTGTCCCTTATCTAACTACTCCTAGATCACTGGGCCAATCTCAACCAAACATTGTAGGATGATAGTCTGGAACAAGGAGCATGTGAATGGGGGGTTCAAAAACCTCCACCTCATTATTGCTGTTATTGAGAATTTATAATCTTTGACATAAGTTAATGTTAACTACATTTGTATATAGTGCCACGTTCTTACACCAAACAAAATATACTGGATGAAATTTTCCATATCCTGGTGGGACAGCAGTAATTCTTCAGATTTACAATAAAATCAGGGGTTCAATTCCCCTCGGTAGACACAGCAAATTGCCTGACGTGGTTTTGCTATAAGAAAACACACACATTAAAATTTCTATAACACAACATACACACAGTGTGGGGGAGGGCACTCAAACATCTATGGAGGAATGTAATATAAAAAAAACCACCACTATTGCAATAATACAATAATATCAGATGAAGTTGATATGACAACAGCCACCATAACACTGATATGAAGAGCCATTTCTTGAGTTATACCCACTTCCAACTTTGACCCATGACCTTACAGCTTCATCCAATGACTGTTAGTTAACCAATAACGTGAAACAGTGTGGAAGGACATTAAGAGGTGGGTGTTGAAAACAGGTAACAGAAAGCACCCCTACTGCCACTACTTTGGTCGCTACCTCTTTGTACCAAAGTCACACTGACCATCACACAGTGTATACCATGTTTTAAGTATATACATAGTGAGTTCTTAATGCTTGTACAACACTTTTG